AGATACTAAAAAGAAAAAGCTACCTTATTTTTTAACATCTACCATTTTGAATTATCAATGATGTTTCTATTTAAAGAAAGCAATCTTTGTTCCTAAGACTCAATTAATGAGACCCTGTCTCCCCTTTTTCCATTCCCACCTCCAGTCTTCTAGTAACCACCATTCTACTTTGTGCTTCTTTTGAGTTTGATTTTATTAGATTCCACATGAGATCATATACATCCTTGTTCTTTAAGAGCTACTTGTTCTCTTATATTCCCAGATGATGCTATCATTATTGCATAAACATCTAAAGTTTCAGGTAGACCACTTAAAATTTTGGGAGCCTGTGCCTTCCAATAATGGAAGAATATTTATTTTATCTATTTTCTGAGATTGTTATGATAAAACAAGAGTATGAAGTTAAAAGTATTCATAAATAACAAAACACTATATCAATGCTATTGGTATAGATATATAATTTGATATCAATTTATAAAATGATTGATTTTTAAATTATTCATAGGATGGCTACAATCCCTTATTTACACTTTCCCACAAACATGGAGAACCAAGAATTAGTCATAAAAGAGAAGTAACAGTATGTACTACAGAGATCCTAAGTAAGATATACACATTATTTATATACCCACTGAACTAATTTGGTTCTTCTGGAATTGAGAAATGATTAAAAATCTTATGAGTTAATTTTAATGTGTAATTGAAAGCTCATACTTGCAAACAACACATTGTCTATGAAGTTGGAGAGCAGTGAACATAACAATAACAGAATAATTTCTTGGTGGGGCTTTAACGAGGCGCCGGAACTTGTCTCCATTCATTCTTATTACAGGTCTTTTACTGGTCCACTCCATCAGCTGACTAACCTTTTCAGATAACACCATCTTAAAAAGACAAAGTGAACATGCAGTTAATACACTCAATTTTCAATTTTTTATTAGTACACATAATACATGACTACTTTCATCATGGGTATTTGGTACATGTACATGATACCTCTTAATTTTTTTTATGTTTCCTTCCCCTCCTCCTTCCCTCCATCACTTGATCCCCTCATTTGCAAAAGATCAATCTTGCCATTTCCTCTTTTATTTTGCTCTTTATTTATACTTTGGGTTTTTTATATAAGAGAAATCATATGGTATTTAACATATTCATTATGGAGCCATAATTTGTATGTCTTTCTGCCAGGCTGAACCACTGGCAGTACATGCATGACTGTCAGGCATCATGAGACAATCACACACGTACTATCAGTGGTTTAAGCCAGTGGGAATGTGTCCAATCTGCATGTCTGATTTATTTCACTTCACATAATGGTTCCTGCCACAATGCTGATGTTGGATGATGGCAGTGGCAGCAGTGGCGGCTGTGACTGTGGACAGGAGACATCTACAGAGCCACAGAGATGCCAAGCAGCCTGTCTCCCACATAAGGTGTAGATGGGGCACTGCCTGCAGAACAAGTCCTGCCAGCTTTACTGGACAGAATCCCCATGTCCATGGTAGGCTGTGGGACAAGTAAGGTCCTTCCTGACCTGTTCAAGGATGTCTAGCTGGATCTTGTCAAGAAGGTAGAACCCTTCAGTGGCACTAAGTGATGTGTACAAGCATTTCATCACAGAGATGGATGACGTTGGCCCTCTTAAGGCTGAGTTTCCATCTGCCACTCAATATGTACCCCCTGGCCACAGTGCCCCATCTACCAGCTACACAGAGCCTTCTTCAGAACCACCATGCAAGGCCAGGGTGGCTAAGTACAGAGCCAAGTTCCACCCATGTGTGACAGCTAAATATGACACCAAGGCCCTCACTGGTTGAGGAAGCTTTAGCTGAGTAGTAGTATGTGTGGAATACTGTCAGTCACATGCCATCAAGATGATTGAAACCAAATACTGAGAGGGGTAGGGGTGTGTGAGACTGAACTGTGTGCGCTGCTCTGGGTGCGCCAACATCATAAAGCTGGTAGAAGTGTTTGAAACACAGGAGCATGTGTATATAGTGATGGACCTAGCCACAAGTGGCGAGATCATTGACCGCATCATTGTTAAGGGTTCCATCATTGAGTGCAATGCCATTAGGGTGCTTCAGATTGTGCTGGATGATGTCCAGTATCTGCACACACTAGGCATCACACACTGTGACCTCCAACCTGAGAATCTGCTCTACTACCACCCAGGGCACTGACTCCAAGATCATCATCACTGACTTTGGCCTGGCTAGTGTCCCCAAGATGGGTGAGGATTGCCTGACGAAGTTCATCTATGGCACACCTCAGTACATTGCTCCTAAGGTCCTGGTCCACCAGCCCTATACAGACTCTGTGGACACTTGGGTGCTGGTTGTCACTGCCTACATTTTGCTCAGTGGTACCATGCCTTTCGAGGATGACAAATGCACCTGGCTGTACCAGCAGATCCTCAGAGGCAAGTAGTTACTTGGGAGAGCCCTGGCCTAGTGTGTTCATTCTGACCAAGGTCTTCGTTGACTGCCTGCTGCTATCCGAGTAACTGCACTATAGGCCTTGAGGGATCTGTGGGTTGTAAACATGGCAGTTTCTTTGTCTGTGAAGAATCTGCACCATTCCATCTCCCAAAACATCCTGAAACATACCTCCTCACACTACCAGAGCATCAGGTCTGCCCAATCTACATGCTCCAGGTGCTCCACATTCTCTAACAAGTCATATTGTGTGTGGGAGCTCAACATGTGCTATCCACAGCTATACAACTAGAACAGCTGAGCCACCAGCTATGGCATAGACACACCATGGGCTATGCTCTACTATGCCATCTGGGCCCAATACTCTTTTGAAATAGGCCTCATGGGCAATGGTAAATAGAAAATGCTTGGCCCCAGCCCCTGCTGTGTTCCCCCAGGAGACCCTGTTCACAATGGGCCTAGGTTTGGTGTGATGGAATGGAGGTGGCCCAGGAGGCTGAGATTCCCTTAACTGGGAGCCTGGCCTAGTACTGATACCCCTTTTGGTGAGCAGCTACTCCATATGAGTTGGGGGAAGGGGGCCGGGGATTTAGCCCAGTGGTTCTGCTGCCTGCCTTGCAAGTGCAAGGACCAAAGTTCGATTCCTGGTACCAAAAAAAAAAAAAAGAAAGATGAGGGTCATCTCTCAACATATGAGTTGGGGGAAGGGATGTATCTTAGCCTTCACTGTCTCCTTCATCCTTTGGCTCTTCTTCAGACCAAAGGGGGCTACAGTGCTAGGTGCAAGCTGTTCTATGCCCATTACTTCTGGAACTCCCCTTCCATCCACTGAACCTTCCTCCCTAGCTCTTACATTCCAGGCCTTTTTATTCCTTAAGATTAGGCTCCTGTGGCAGGGCCAGCTTTGGCCTTAGCTAGAATGCAGGCCCTGGTTGCCTTGACCCCTGGTTAGATCTAAGCAGTCCCTATCTCCTAGCCAAGATCTTTCTTCCTTCATAGTGCTGCCAGGGACCCCTCCTGGCCCTAACACTTGCCAGGACCTCTGGTGGCCGTTTTGTGGCATGGACCTTGGCCACAATGGTGGTAGGATCACCCTAGCTCCAAACCCTCTGCAAGGGTTCCTGCTCACCACTCTCAGTTTCTTCTTTGCAGAGCCCACTATTGCCTCCTTCTCCACCCTGGATGCCCATTTCATTTCCCAGATGCCTCCTGCTCAACTATGGGGGAATAAAGAGAGCCCCACTGCTACTACCTGGGGAATGGGGGCACTTGGGCCAAGACAGAAGGTTCACCCTTAGGATCCCACTGTCTAGTGCAATCCTTTGGCACCACCCATTGCTCTTTCCCTTCAGAGGCCTCTGTGCTCTTTTGTGCAGCTTCATGAAGGTACCATCTAGTGTCTAGCCTGGGAATGGACAGCCAGAGGTGAGCAATGGATGTCCATATTGCAAACCCATAATCCTCCAAAAGGAAGTGAAAATAAAGGAACTGGTACACTGTAGGAGGTTCCTGGTGTCGCAGGAAATATGAAATATTATTTTTTTAACCTGTTAACTGTATGATATGCCAAGTTTTTGTTTTTTAGAAATCAAAGAATGAGGGCCGGAGATTTAGCTCAGTGGTTCCGCCACCTGCCTCACAAGCGCAAGGTCCCAAGTTTGATAGCCATTACCAAAAAGAAATCAAAGAATGAGTCCTAGGAACGATGGAAGTTAAAAGTAGGAAGATATTTATTGATAGGAAAGCTCCTGAGGGGCAGGAGGGGGCCTGAGTGGGTAGCCCAAGGACCCCACTTTATACAGTTTTATAGGGTAAAACCCATGTGGGTATAACGTGGCCCATAGCCATGAATATCCAATAAGGTTACAAGTATAGTCACTTAGGTAATAGTGGTCCAATTGGGAAGCAAATCATATACCAAGCATGGATGGAAAGAACAAGGATTTTTTAGGATGTGGTGGGTCCAGAGGTCTCTGGTCACCCCCAGGGTGGTCAATGTCTATCTATACTTTACTAAGCCCAGTTTTTTGAAGAAGTATGTGGGTCTAGTCATCTTGTCTCTATCTTGAGGCCTGGTTTTTAGCCGATGTGTAGCTGTGGTATGTTTTATCTTTGTCCTGGCCCTCTCGAGGACTTAGCCCTATCTGACTGCCTATAGTATTTTTATCTAGCTCATCTATCTATATTTTCTCCTCTGAAAAAGTATCCCAAACTACTCTGAGGGGGCAAGGGGCGATGACTGCTCTAGGTATTTTAGGTTGAAGAGGGTCGTGGTTGTGGTTGACAGTCAGGGATATCCTTTAGAAGGTCTATCTAAAGGTCTTTGATAGATATCAGGCATTTTTTATCATGGGTAGGCATATAGCTTTAAGTCTGGAGGAGACACTGCCAGAAAGACAGTTAAGTATATATGGGCCAAACAATAAGATCACCAGGAATATTATGAGTATACCCAACAGATGTTTTTACCAGGAAGAGCTAGTAATAGCCTTTTATAGGGAGGATAAGGAGAAGTCCCAGGGAATCTCAGAATCTGACATGGCCTTAACCTGTTCTTTAATATTTAGTTTATGACTTAGATATCTTATAGGCTGTTGAGCAGGTCCTCAATCCTGAGTAAGCACTCTTAAAGCCATTTTTTGCCTTTTGTCAACATATAGATTGAAATGGTGTCTTATTGGTAAGCTCAGTGTAGGGGCATTTAGAAGCATTTGTTTTAAGCTTTTGGAATGTAGTTTGGGAATCAGGTTTTTAGGTTAAAATATGGGTATCTGTTTTTGGGGGGTTTTTATAAGCTGATAGAGAGGCTGTATAATCTTACCATATCCTGCTATCCAAAGGCAACAAAAGCCCATAATTTTTAGGAACCTCTTTAGCTGTTTTAGGGTCTTAGGCAGTGGGAAGGAAAGTATTGGTTTAATTTTTTTTTTTTTGTCTTTGGGTTTTTTTTTTAAGATATGACAAGGCCTAAATATTTTATCACAAGGCTATAAAGTTGTGTTTTAGATCTAGAAACCTTATAACCCCTGTCTGCTAGAAAATTTAGCAGAGCACTGGTATCTTGGCTAGAGAGTTTTTTTGAGGGGGGCACATATCAGTATATCATCTATATATTGCAACACTGTGACCTGGGGAAACTCAAAACATGTCAGGTCATGGGAAAGCGCTTGTCTAAACAGGTGAGGACTGTCTCTGAATCTTTGAGGAAGTATAGTTTAAATTAGTTGAGAGGCCTGATCATGAGGTTTTTTAAACACAAAAAGAAACTGAGAATCTGAATGTAAAGGAATATAAAAGAAGGCATCTTTTAGATCTAACACCAAAAACTAACAGGCATCTTTAGGAGTCTGAGAGAGGAGAGTATATGGGTTAGGTATCACTGGGTGAATTGGCACTATTGTCTCATTTATCAATCTAAGATCTTGTGTTAACCTCTATTTTTT